GTTTTTCCTTTGTCTCTTCGTTGTTCACGATACTTTGTTAGAAACTTTTGTAACATCTCTTTTGCATTCTTAATGAGTACTTTACGAAGTTCTTTTGTAGCGTGTGATGATTCGAGATCAGGCTTAATATGAGGGTCATAATTCTTAACAAGGCTACGTGATACTATAAGGGGAAAAAGATTTCAATCAAGGGGGTTATAAACATCAAATAATTAAACTAAATAAATCAAATTATTTGTAGTGAGTATATGTACCAATATCATCAATGGCACCAAGACGTTTGATAATTGTTTTAACGCCGGAATAAACAGTAAAATTATTATCATAACATATAATCTCTCTCAAGTTTCCGAATAATTGAATTAATAACCGAGGATCGATTCCTCCTTCTTCGAAAAGTGGGAAGGCCATTTCAAACAATGTCTCTCCAAGGTAAAGGAAGCCAGATCTTTGAAGAATATAATTAGATTCATGACGCTATAAATATGCCAATCATTCAAGTTATAAATTTATGTGAATAAATTGTAATATTATTATTAAATTACGCCATAACTTACCATGATTTCGCTATGGACATTATCTGGAGTTGATGTCTTCATCGCTTGTCTGGCCAATTCTACAGCTTCATCTATGCGGGCAGAAGAATCCAACATCGAATCAGCCTTAATAAATAATTACATATGCATATGAAACAAACTGTCAGAAATAATCATTTAAAAACAAAAGAATTTGAGATGAAATAGTCTAACCTGAACGATCAAAGGTGTTGCTGCTAAAGCAACAACTGATTCGCTTCCAGCAATTATAAGTCGAGTGGGAATAGTTGCTAAAAAATTGGATTGATTACTGCTTGACCCTGTGAGAATTTGTAAACCATCTACGTCAGATGAAGTATTATTATCTAGTTGGGAAGAAGAATTATCTTCATTCAATAAATATCCACTCTCCAATTTTAACTTATCAATTAAACCGGCGACCTGAACTTTAATACCAGGCCCAGTTGAGATGGTTTTTGATTTTGACGAAAGGACTTCGCGTTGAACAAGTTTAAGTTCAGTTATATCGTGAATTTCAATAGTGTTGTTACGCAATAAAGCAACAACATATGGAAATTCGACACTGATCGCTCTCGGAAGCCCTTCCCATTGTATAATTCCACGAATAGCTTCCCCTGTGAACGAAACAAATTGTCCAAATGTCATTTGTAATCAAACAAATTAATATTAAGGATTATATGTAGTAAATTAAATTGAATAATAATATCAATTGATAATCATAAACAAGGATATGATTAGTAGTCGGTATGGTCAATAAAAACTCTCCTGCTCTGATAACAGTAACTATAGGGTTAAAACTATCGCCAATATCAGATAGATATGGTTGTACAATTTCCATCCGTTTTGTTGATAAATTAATTATCTTATATTGATGCAAGTCCGCGACAAATATATAAGGACCATATTGACACGCAGTAATTGCCCCATCTGGTACTTGCATAGGCTATTGAAATTCAATTATAAAAACTTATCAATGAAATATTTCATAGATAACTGCTGAATGGGATGAATAATTACTTACTGTTTCTTCGGAATATCTATCTGTCAGCGAGTATATATGTAGCGTTCTTTTCTTCATTACACATAATTTGACTGATCCATCTCGTTCAAGTTTGCCCTCCTTTGAAGTATCATGACAAAAACATGTAACTCCTTTAATCCATGGGAAGTTTGTCGTGGGTAATGCGGTCATCTCAGGAAGAGAGTAAAAAGACAACGTGGATTCTAATTATTATCCAAATTCAATTAATACAAATTCCAATTGCTCAAGATAAATATTTGTTACTTGCCACACAATATTACGGCAGTATTAATTTGGGGGAGAAGCATTATACGTTCGACTTTCCTCTTCCAACTAAGAGCTTGTTTACTGATAAGAAAGTTACTCGGTATATTCTTTATTTAATGTATATCAGTTGAAATTTTTATTACATGATAAAATATTTTATTTTTAATAATTAATTAAAATACATACATCTTTGGACAAAACTTGATCATCGAGCAAATAATGAATTAACTGTCCATCCGAAGTGCCTATGTATAAATTATTTTCTGGAACAATATTAAACGAAAAAGAAATATGAATCTATGTAATAATAGTAAAAGTACATTTATATATGAAATAAGTATATAAGGTAAACTGAACTATTTTTTAAATCAAACTAAAAACTAAGGTAGAAATTCTAATATTTCTATAATATTTTCGTGTCAGTCCTGAAACTGTAAAGCATAAAAGCCATTGGAATGTTAGTCAACTTACCCCAGGCCTCAACAGATTCTACCGTAACTTGACTATCTTTATTTCCCCATCCAATGCTACTAGTTAGCCTCGAACCTGCGCCAGCTCTGTTACCCTCTCTTCCTCCAAACAATCTACTTCCACCTCCAGAACTTTGGGTAACCTGCTGGCTATCCTCAAAAGGTAGTGCTTTTATTAAAGTCTGCAGAGAAAAAGGTGTGTAAGACATCACAAAAGGTTGTTTCAATAGATAGAAACGAAAAGTATAATTTATAATTCAAAGTCCTAATTCTCCTATGATTGGAATAACCTGCAGTAAGTCCGGGTAAGTTAATCGTTTTCGGTTAGCGTGGTTAAGCAAGACCCATCATATGCAAAATTCTTTATAATTTGAATCACGTGATTTTCTTTCCTAACAAAGGTTCGAATTGAGTAGATTGTTAATGGGGTGACAATTATACAATAAGAAAGGATTGTGACTAAAGTTTCCTATTTTGAAAGATGTTAGTATTATGTATAGAATTTTATTATTTGTTTTTTGAAATTATTAGCAAACACTTTTTAAGTTTCTTGTGGACATTTTTGTTCCAGCAGTCGGAATTTATTCATTTGAACTCTTGACTTTATCAACCACATCACCTCCAGAATTAAATAAATCTGCAACACTACAAGGCGCATAGTTAAAACTACAAGCAACAATTTTGAACATTCCCAAGAAAAGGTACTCTGTCTTTGAATCTATTTCTGTCATTTAGGGTATCGTTTAGAGCTGCGGTAATACATGTCACCATCCTCCTGCCATTATTCATAAGGTAATTTTTTTTTAAAAACATTCAGGTGTTCGAATATATTGCTTGGTCTTGTTTCTTCGAAAAAGAGATAAGGTAGTTATAAAATCTTTTGAGCTGATTTCTTTTTATCAGTTCAATGGTTATTTAAATGTACCAATTTATCAACATATTACGGTCGCAGTTTTCAAGTAGTCACCGTGAAAAAAAAAAATCAAATCAATTGTTGGAAGTGTCTGCTAAAAGGTGAGTATAGTTCGCGCAGGTTTAGGATTTCTGTACAGATGATTGACTTATATAAATCTTATTTTTGTAATACGGTACAGGCCAAAACGGTACATTTTCATTCGACGAATATGTTGATTCCACTGAGGATAATAAAAGTGAGATTTCTGATGATTCCAAAATTATCAACGTGGAACCTTTGGCAGATTGGGAATTTGATTTTATGTTCTCAAACTGCCAAAAATTTTCAATCTTTGGACGTTATTTCGTCTCATCTCACAAACTTGTTGATATGCCTTACGGAAAAAT